TCTGGTACATTTTTTAGATAAATCTAGTACATTACAAAAATATATTCTGGCAACACTGATGGAGGGTGCAACACTCACAAACTGGAGAGATACCCTAGGGCTAACTCATTCGAAAGCGTTTATAGCCAACTCTTCTATGAACGCCTCTGCTCAGATCCGAGAATAAAATAGAAAAAATCAGCGCATATTCACGGGACTGATGACAGTACGCTCTCGTCTGGGCGATCACATGAGAAGGATAGGCCTTCAACAAACATGGGACTGTCGATTCTGCAACTTGGAAGACGATTCTGCAGAGCACATTTGGAAAGAATCAGGTTCCAGGTCTTCCGATTAACCCGACTGGAGCCTACCGACTTTAAGCAAGTCTCACCCCATTCGACCATGGCCTTCATCAAAAGGTGTGGCTTGTACGGTGAACTATAAGCTTGTCATTAGTCATAAAAGATCCATCTTCAATCTAAACTAACCAACCTAACCTAACCACTGCGACGTTATTTATTGGTGATAATTAATTCCGGATGTCACATTGCCTAAAAGTGACGTATCAGAAACGTCGTAAATGTGACGTTTCTAATACGTCAATACCACGTCATATATATGTCATAATTTCATCATAATCGTATTTAATCAAAAAAGGTACCCGTTGAATACAAATATTAAAAAACGTCTGTTTGGTTAGACTGGGCCATTTTAAAAGCAGCCAATTATTATTGTTCAATAACGGTGAAGAAGGTGGAAAAGGGTTTCTGGATCGGTAATTTTAATTTTACAATGTTAAAATGTAAGTGTGTAATAGTTTCCTATTTTTGCAATTTCTATATCGAGTGAAATTATGGGTAAAATACTTTACAGATTTTTTATTTAGTTACTGAATTGAAATTAAGAAAATAATGATGTATAGCTGGTAAACGGTAAGTATAAGGTTTTTATTAATTAATAATAAGTAAGCGAGTATCAAATAATTTCTTAACTGTAAGACTGTGTTCTGTAAATGATTTTAATTTTGTCCAGGATGTACAACTATAGATAAATACCGTATTATTTACAAACGACATAAGTTTTCCCCCTTCTTAAACTTCTAATAAATTGTTAAGATTAAATAGTAATAAACCTAGTACAGTCTCTTGAGGTACACCGCACGTAACTTTCTTTTTTCTCCCCAGTAAGTAGGGATGATTTATAGATTTTTCCTTCCTAAACCCAAAGTGCATTTTATTAAGTGTTTTATGTTTGGTAAAAACAATTATTTTTGCAAATATCGATTTTGGAGATATGTGCCGATAATTGCTTACCTCCAATGTATAATTTTTTTCTTGTAAATTGTAACTATATTAATTTATATTTATTATGTTGGTTTGCATAAAAAAAATTGTTTCCAAAGTTACCCTTTATTGAACTAGTTTCGAAATTCCCTAACTATAGTCCCGACAGTGACAAGTATTTTAAAAGAATTCATAGAAATAATTATTTACCTACGAGCACTATGAAAACAGACAAATGTACGGTAAACAAAACACAAAATAAACAAAACACACAGAATATAATAGACAAAAAATATTTACGTGATTATCATAGGAAAAGTGTAGTAACATTTTTGACAAGCAAGTGAAAGTAGCAAAAAAGTTATCACATTTAGAGGCGATATCAGATATATGAAAGATTAGAGAAAGCAACAATCAAATTCCAGCGAGAGGTGAATCTGTTTAATATAATTATTATACAATACTATGGGGTAGAAATATGGCCAATCTAAGCTCACACTGAAACCAATTGCCCATATTTTTCGAAAGATTTATTATTTAAAGCCCACCAAATCATATCCCTTTAGAACTCTTTTTTTCATATCTATAAATAACCATTTGCAGATCCCTTTATTACTGTTATTTTTTCAAATTTTTCTTACAATAAAAATCGCATCTGGCGTATATCTTCCCTGCATTAATCCAAATTGATTATTTAGAATATTTATGTCGAATTAATATTTTTCTTCGTTACAGATTTGGCGACTAATTCTACTCCACTGCCAAATTATTATTATTATATTTTGTTTTCAAATTCAACCAAATTGCATTTTAAATATTTCAATGATTATTTATTTTACAATTACGCAGTCTGTGTATTTTTACTCCAACCACATGTTGTAATATTCTTAAGTTAAAAATAATCTAGCCAATAATTTTAAAAATATGTTTAGTGACTTTTAAAAAATTTCTTCTAGTTTAATTTTCATTTACATGTACCTTACTGCACTTTTACTATATCTGCCTTAAATCGCACCATCTGACGAAAGTTTTAATACATAAGATTCAATCCGCGTTAAAAGCAATTTTTGTTTTTTATTTTGTAAAAATATATAATTTGAAAAAATACAATTAATGTTGTTTATTAATTTTCAGTTAATTTTTTTTTTTAATATCGTTAGGGTTAGGTTTTAGCCCAGAATTGCGGCCTCTTTGGTCTATTGTATTCATCTGCTCTCCCCATATTCAGGTACTATCTTTGGAATAGTCCAGTGTCTTTGGTTAATTTTAATATTTTCCCTAACAAGTGTTCCTGGGGCGTTTTTTTCGATTCTAGGCCAAAAAGGATGAGACGCCGTCTAGTAAGAGCTTCGCATTCGAAGATCACATGGTATAAGGTTCCTTCGTCTTCCATGCAGAGTCTACAAGTAGTGGGATCATTGTGTAATCCCATCACATGTAGGTGTTTCAACAAACAGTGTCTCGTTAGTAATCCCAAAATGGAGGACAACTGAGGCCTTGCGAGATATAGTGTCTAAGTAGCCATACGTGGGTTTGGTCCTACTAGTATGAGCTTACTGATTATGTGCCCTCTTATCTGTTGCCAGTGAATTTGGTGTTTTGTGGTTATCCACCTGTTCACATTCTGACGAGCAACGGTTTTGCTTATATCAAATACAGATTCGGGTCCTGTGAATGGTAGTTCTGATCCTTCTTTGGCAAGTTCATTAGTCTTTTTATTTCCCTAGATACCTTTATGCCCTGGTACCTACGCTAGTTTTACCTTATTGTGGTTTGCCAGATCATTTAGTATTCCAAGGCAGTTCCAGACAACCTTTGACTTAATAATGTTTGAATGAAGAGCCTTTAAGGCGGCTTGGCTATCTGAGAGAATTAGTATGGGTAGTTTTTGTACTTCCTACTTAAATTCTCTTGTACACACAATTCGATTGCATGTATTTCAGCCTGAAATACAGTGGTATATTTTTTCCAGTAAGACGATGATGTCGCTTTTGAGTTTAACTCCATGTACGCCCGAGCCTGTTTTCTTGTTAATTTTAGATCCATCCGTATACCATACCAGACCGCTAAGCAAGTATTTCTTTACCTCCTTATTTACCTCGTTCCAGTTGCAGTTGACTTGGAAGAGTTGAAGGTTAGGCGGAGTGTTATTTGATCTGAACCCTTATTTAATATAGGATGATTTACTCCATTTGTTATTCTGGTATGTTTTATGTGTTCCAGAGGGTTTCAGTTGTTGGAAATATCCAATCTGCATGGACTCATTCTGGCTTTCCCCTCTGTGACTGGATCAAGGGGTGGAAGGTTTAGAATGATGTCCATAGAAGCTGTCGGTGTACTTTTCAGTGCTCCTGTAATACAATTACATGCCAGCCCCTGAACTCCTGAGAGGGTTTGAGAGCTGTTTTCCGATTTACTTTTAGCCATCAAAAAAACATTCTATAAGTTATCATAAATCTTGTTATTGCCAGGCATAGCCAGCGGACCATTTTTGGGTTTAAGCCCCATGTTTTTCCAAATGCCCGTCTCCTTACAATGAGAGACATTTTATATTTGTTGGTCACTTTTAAGTGTTGGTGCCAAGTAAGTTTGCTATCTAGGATTAGACCCAGATATTTTACTTCTTTTTGTTTAAAATTCAAAAAGAGTCATAATTTCTAAGACCTCCAACCTTGTTTTCCGAGTAATGGTTATGAGTTGTGCCTTGTGCCCGCGCAGTTAGGCAATTGGGTATCATCTTTAATAATAATAAAAAGTTCTTAATCGTAGTTGTTTATCTTATTATTTTTTGTATTTAAGAAAAATAGGCTAATGGAAAATAATGTATTATAATATTTTTGTACCTTATATTACTATATCTATACCATACGTAAAACACCTTAAAATTTAGTCCAGGAATGTTAGGAAAAATAGCGGCAGCGTCAATAAAAATCACTCCAAAATCATTAATCAGGGGGTTTACGGGGATGCCGAATTTAATTTTGACATTAGACTTCCCAGGGGCTCTCGGGGGAGACGGGGTTGTCTGGGGGTGATTGGGGGGAAATGAAAGCGTTCATGAAAATCACTCCAAAATCGATATTTGGGGGTTTTAGGGGATGCCGAATTCAATTCTGGCATTAAAATTACCCGTGGTTATGAATAATAATAATTTTGAGTGAATCTTAAATAAATAAATATTACACATATTATAAAAACAATTGTTTAGAAAGTCTTTTTTGCATCGAAACTGGATTTAAAGAAGGCGCCAAAGCTATAAATAGAGTAGAGTATCGTTACCACGGGGATGTATGCATAAAAATTTCGCCCCCATACGCATGGCTCCAGATTCCTGGACGGTCATGAAGTTGCCCACAAGTGCAACTCATGACAAGTTTCTAGGGAATAGCAAAAATAAGTCCTCGCTCAATAAATTTCTCCAGGAGGAATTGAAACGGGCTAATATAATGTCTCAGTAGACCGTAGCTGATGCGGATGTTGATATTGTGCTCAAGGCCATTGGAAGACACTGAATATCTTAACAATGCTTGCTGCTCAGACTCCATCGAATCTAGGAGTGTTCTTGCTGAAGCCGCCTTCCGCCAGAGTACCTGATGTTGTATATTTTTCCGAGAGCTTCCAGAAGCGTGTGCATCAGCATTTTTCTATCGAGGGAAATTAAAATTCTGCAATTTGTTTGAGAGTTCCGATGATTTACATGGGTTTGTATAAATATTTAAGCAACCATCTGTATCCATGGATGATGTAATAGATCATGGGCTTCGTCTAGCTTTGGCTCTTTACGGGGCACCCAAAGATGTGCGCACGAGCGATAAACCTGCGATTGAGTTCGTCCAAAGCTATCGAGCAAAAATGTATGCTGAAGCCACCAATTCTAAAAAAGTCGATTTTGCACGCATAATCCCGACTGTCAATGCGTTAACCGAGCATATCAAGTGTGTCTATTTCCAAGTACAGGCTTGGTAAGGTTCACAAGGTCAAGACGAGACCTTAGATCCGTTGGGATGGGGGTGGGAATTGGTGGATGGAGAGCTCACTCCTGTCACCATGACCCAGGAAGCCGGTCCCGAGGAAATTTTAAGCAACATTTCTTGTTCTTGTGAAACCGACTGTGGCACGAGGTGCGGGTACCGCCGAAGTGGGTTGGAGTGCTCACTTGCATGCAAGCATTGCGATGGTAATTGCTCAAACCAAGAAGGTACTTCCAACGGGACCGAGAATAGTGAAGAGGAAGAAGATGAAGAAGGGGAAGAAGAAGAAGAGTTTGAACAAGATTTTTAGAATTTAAGTTGAAAATTTAAGTTATTAATGAATAATTCAACATTAATAAAAACTCCCATTTGTTATTTAAATAAAGTATTACATTCATAATTTGTGATTTCACTTTCTCCTTTACCATTTCCTACACAGCCACCCCCAAGCTCCCACAGGGAAATCTAATGCTAGAATTGAATTCGGCATCCCCGAAAACCCCCTTGTAACGAGTTTGGAGCGCTTATTACGGACTATGCAATTTTCCCTCTAGAATGGCCTCCCGGATACCCCCGCAGAGCCGCCCCCAAGTAATTCCAATGCCAGAATAGAATTCGGCATCCCCAAAAACCCCCCGAGTAACGATATTAGAGTGATTTTCACGCACGCTGCCATTTCCCTCCCTCTGACCCCCAGACAACCCCACAGAGCCACCCCCGAGCGCCCACGGGGAAATCTAATGCTAGTATTGAATTCGGCATCCCCGAAAACACCCCGAGTAACGAGTTTAAAGTGCTTCTCATGGACTATGCAATTTCCCCCCAGAATGACCCCCCGGATATCCCCGCAGAGCCGTCCCCGAGTAATTCCAATGCCAGAATTGAATTCGGAAACCCCCGTAAACCCACGAGTAACGAGTTTGGGGCGATTTTCATGCACACTGCTATTTCTCACCCCACAGAGCCTCCCCCGTGCACCCTCGGGTAATTTTAATGCCAGAATCGAGTTCTGCAGCCCCAAAAACGATTTTCGAGTGATTTTATAGTCGTTCCTATAATGGTGCAAGTAATGATGCAATTGGAAAATTCATTTTCCGACCCAGAAGGCAGTTTTCAAAAAATATCTAAATCAGACGACATAAACTTTTTTCCTGGGACCTTCCTGAACACAATGCAGAAAACCGCATTTCGATATCTGCTGTCCCTAAAAATTTCCGCTATTTCCGGATTTTGATCTAAATGCCCTGGACTAATTATTTAATAAGGCCTATACAAACAATATTTCCCCCTCTTGTAAAAATTGTCACCACATCTAATGTAATCGTTTATTGCACTTTTGACATAATAAATAACTTTTGATCTTTCAAAATTCAACGAAGATATTTTCCAAAATCATTTTTATTATGAATCGCCCTTAAAAGTTTGTCAGTATATTTTAGACACCCCTCTATATTATTAAAGTCCTTTATAAATAGTTTAAAATTGTAGGTACTCACCTGAGAATTTCTTCCATACGAATTAGTTTCTTCCAAACCCTTTCCTAATGCCTCATTTCTTTCTACATAATTGTCCAAATCCGAAATAATCTCCTTAAGTGAATTCCTAATATTACCATCTTTAATTTCTGAATTATATTTTGTATTACCGTTCTGATCTGTATATACAGAAGAAAATAGGGAATTTAAATCCAACGGTGCTAACGGCTGAACTGGCGTGTATCCCAATTCTTCAAAAATTATGGAATTTTTAGACATAGTAAAAACTGCTGGTTCTTGTACTGGTTCTTGTACTGATTCTGGTACTGGTTCTGGTTCAGGTTCTGGTATTATTCTATATTCCGGTATTTCACATTGATCTTCTACAATTTGTTCCGTAGGAGAATCAATCTTCACTTCCGGTATAATCAACTTTTTCTCTGTGTTATTACTCGTTGGCGATATATTTCTTGTATCATCTGTACTGGATATTTGTGGATCACCTTGCAAAAACGAGTTGGCATTTTTGACAAGATCGAATGATGCGGGTACTTCGAATTGTAATGGAGCAAATGGTTTGAGTGGTTCGAAAGATCTGATTGATTCCAAAGATTTGTATCCTAAATTAGAAAGGGGAGCTTGAGATGCTTCTGTTGAATTTGGATTAGACGATTCGTTGGAAGTCGACTATAAAATATAATATTTTGTTAATGTTGTTTTATTAACGCTTCAGTTACTCATTGTGTTTATAGTGTATATTCGTACGTAAATTGAACTTTAATAGATGTAGTTTAGAGTGAAAAATAAATGATATTTGAAAGAAATTTCATAAAAGATTTTCAATATTAAAAAGTTTATTGTGTCTAATTTGGTTGTGTGTGTGTGTGTGTGTGTGTGTGTGTGTGTGTGTGTGTGTGTGTGTGTGTGTGTGTGTGTGTGTGTGTGTGTGTGTGTGTGTGTGTGTGTGTGTGTGTGTGTGTGTGTGTGTGTGTGTGTGTGTGTGTGTGTGTGTGTGTGTGTGTGTGTGTGTGTGTGTGTGTGTGTGTGTGTGTGTGTGTGTGTGTGTGTGTGTGTGTGTGTGTGTGTGTGTGTGTGTGTGTGTGTGTGTGTGTGTGTGTGTGTGTGTGTGTGTGTGTGTGTGTGTGTGTGTGTGTGTGTGTGTGTGTGTGTGTGTGTGTGTGTGTGTGTGTGTGTGTGTGTGTGTGTGTGTGTGTGTGTGTGTGTGTGTGTGTGTGTGTGTGTGTGTGTGTGTGTGTGTGTGTGTGTGTGTGTGTGTGTGTGTGTGTGTGTGTGTGTGTGTGTGTGTGTGTGTGTGTGTGTGTGTGTGTGTGTGTGTGTGTGTGTGTGTGTGTGTGTGTGTGTGTGTGTGTGTGTGTGTGTGTGTGTGTGTGTGTGTGTGTGTGTGTGTGTGTGTGTGTGTGTGTGTGTGTGTGTGTGTGTGTGTGTGTGTGTGTGTGTGTGTGTGTGTGTGTGTGTGTGTGTGTGTGTGTGTGTGTGTGTGTGTGTGTGTGTGTGTGTGTGTGTGTGTGTGTGTGTGTGTGTGTGTGTGTGTGTGTGTGTGTGTGTGTGTGTGTGTGTGTGTGTGTGTGTGTGTGTGTGTGTGTGTGTGTGTGTGTGTGTGTGTGTGTGTGTGTGTGTGTGTGTGTGTGTGTGTGTGTGTGTGTGTGTGTGTGTGTGTGTGTGTGTGTGTGTGTGTGTGTGTGTGTGTGTGTGTGTGTGTGTGTGTGTGTGTGTGTGTGTGTGTGTGTGTGTGTGTGTGTGTGTGTGTGTGTGTGTGTGTGTGTGTGTGTGTGTGTGTGTGTGTGTGTGTGTGTGTGTGTGTGTGTGTGTGTGTGTGTGTGTGTGTGTGTGTGTGTGTGTGTGTGTGTGTGTGTGTGTGTGTGTGTGTGTGTGTGTGTGTGTGTGTGTGTGTGTGTGTGTGTGTGTGTGTGTGTGTGTGTGTGTGTGTGTGTGTGTGTGTGTGTGTGTGTGTGTGTGTGTGTGTGTGTGTGTGTGTGTGTGTGTGTGTGTGTGTGTGTGTGTGTGTGTGTGTGTGTGTGTGTGTGTGTGTGTGTGTGTGTGTGTGTGTGTGTGTGTGTGTGTGTGTGTGTGTGTGTGTGTGTGTGTGTGTGTGTGTGTGTGTGTGTGTGTGTGTGTGTGTGTGTGTGTGTGTGTGTGTGTGTGTGTGTGTGTGTGTGTGTGTGTGTGTGTGTGTGTGTGTGTGTGTGTGTGTGTGTGTGTGTGTGTGTGTGTGTGTGTGTGTGTGTGTGTGTGTGTGTGTGTGTGTGTGTGTGTGTGTGTGTGTGTGTGTGTGTGTGTGTGTGTGTGTGTGTGTGTGTGTGTGTGTGTGTGTGTGTGTGTGTGTGTGTGTGTGTGTGTGTGTGTGTGTGTGTGTGTGTGTGTGTGTGTGTGTGTGTGTGTGTGTGTGTGTGTGTGTGTGTGTGTGTGTGTGTGTGTGTGTATTGTGTGAGAGATATGGCTTCGGACGGTGTCCATTTGCCACAGAATGTTTAAATAATAGAAACGGAATACAGAAAAGAAAGAAATAAGAGTAGTGTCTCAAATATCTAGCTTAGTGTCGCATATAAATTTAATTAAAATATAGAGGATATGTTTATCGGTGCTTGTCAGAAGGGATGTCAAATTTACTGGTAGAGGAAAATTGAGAGAGATTAAAGATTTATATAGCCCAGATGTTTGTAATGCATAATTTTGACATTCAAAGAAAAGGTGATTGGCGTCTCCAACCGACGTATTATTGCAAGTTCAAGTGGGAGAGTCTATGATTTTTATTTTGCCTAATTTGGTTGTTATTCATATTTTGTTCTGGAAAAAAATATTTTGTTTAATGATTTTTGACATTTTCCTAAGGTTCAACATTTAAACTAAATTTGTCAATAAAGGTAAAACGTATTGGACTCACCTTGAAACAACAGTCTAAAGATCGAGGTCATATCGTATAAATAACACCATCTAACGAGGTCCTAGAATGTAATTACTAAACAACTTCAAGACATCGCAGTAACTAAAGCATCAAATATCTATTATATTCCACGCCTTGTTCTCAATGATCATGAGTAGTACCCCCCTTTTTTCAGCTCTGTGGCCACATATTTTAAAGTCTAAATACCCTCAAAAGTATTTAGAAAGTTCAAAAATAACTGGTTGTCCCAGTCATTCCTACCGCTTCTCCCGTTCCGTGGTAGTCAGATACACTCTAATACGTCATTCTTTCTTTTTCGTGCAATGTGGTTACACGTAAATAATTTGCGTATCATAGTTAGTTATCAAAAATACATAAATGGGTAAATCAAAGAAAAAAATTCTCCGAGGTTTAAAAACTTGAAAACAAAATTATAAAAAGAAGCTGGATGAACAAAAACGACACCGAATATTACATCACATGGATGTTGAACAAAATGGAGGCACAAATGGTAAACGCTTTTTAAAAATTGCAAATTTTTTTGTCTGTTTTACATATGAATTCATACTTCATCGATCAGCATTAAAACATACACAGTATACACTGTAATACAGGCTAGTTACTGGTTTATAACTGAATCATTAATTGGTAGCTATTCAGGTTTTTGCCGTATTTATAATGCACTATGTACTGTAAAACAGGCTAGTTAATGGTTTATAACTAATTCATATGTATGGCAATGCCTGTGGATTCATGTGGAACCTTTCCTGTTTATTATGCCCGACGCTGAAACAGGGGTTTTTATATTTTTATAGTGGGAAGAACGAAAGGACCAATAGAGTAGAGGCCGCGATATGGTAATGTAAAGTTTCTTTTTGGTAGCGGCTATTAGGCCGCCTCTCCGTACATATTTCTATGTATCATTAAACGATTGATAAAAGATATGTGCATGGTATGACTTAATCTGAGGATCTCTACAGATTTTCCAGTTTATTGTACTCTTCGCTTAAAGCTCGTTACCTAATTAAATCATTGGCAATATTATCTAAACTTATCTGGTTAGATAACTTTATAAAAGTAGTGGGTAGTTTGAATTTCCTACTCGGGGGATGAAATTGTTATTTAGGTGTATATATCAATCATTCAAAGTTATTATTGCTTTACTAAGAAGAACATTAATAAAACATGATTATTTTGTTGAAATGGACTATCTAACATTGTTTAGACGAGTTCGTTGATGAAGTAAGACCCTTTTTCGTCTTGAACTCTTATGACTCATAACTTCTTTTATTTTAATTTGATGAGTCTTTCAAAATAACATTTGTTTATATTATTTTCTAGTGAAGTTGCAATAAATTCTGCAGACCTTTTTATTTGGTTAATATTTTGCAGCTAAATGTATGGATATTGAATTGGTTTTACAAAAAAAAAATCCTATATAAAACATTTGGTTTATTTTGAAACTTACAGAAAATTTTTAGTTATCTATGCTAAAAAGATGGATACAACCAATGAAAAATATTTAACGGCTAGGTACCAAGTAATTATAAAAATAAGTAGTTCTCATCTCGCCTTCCGCCTATATGCCTTCCATAATTGGACGCATAATATTTACACCTCTACCGGTAGTGGCATAGTAAGTATGCTTTAATTCTGTCTGTTCAGCTGTATCAATAGCATTGGTTATATACCGTTTTCTGGAGAGAGGTTTGAATATTGCATATAAAATAAGAGATGGGGAGAGAAGTGAGGTGAGATGAACAGGGTGAAGTGAGTTACCTGTGATTAGACAGCCTTTAAGAAAAAAAAATCGCCAGAAGGATCTACTTCCTCCTAGTAAAACCTCGTTAAATTACGGACGGTTGAATATAACTTATTTCAAAGAGTTTTAAAATGTATGAGAACTTTAGTTGGATGGTTTAACTATAAATGATCGATTAATGGAGTCCTGCAATATATTAGCCGTTGGTTGAAATTAAGCCCACATAATGGAGTAGATACCACAGTATTTCAGTCGCATTTTACACATTATGCTTCTACATATGCTGCTAATAAATTGGGAGTCAGTATTGACACATTTAAACATACACCAGATGGAAAAAAAAAACAGTAGGTAGCATTTAGTTAACAATTTCTATGAAAGACTTTTTATAAATGTTTTAAATCATGATCAACATAATTTTGCCTTTGCAATTTTCATTTCGTAATGTTCGTTGTATGTATCTATTTTGAATTATAAGTTACATCGTACTTAAATTCTTGAAAATTAAGTCTGTTATTTCAATAAAATAATGCTAGTAGTGTACCTTCTTAGCATATACCCAAACAGTTCAAATAATAATTCAATCGTTGGGTTTAGAATAAAAATGTTCTCGGTAAATTGTGTTTAATCTTTTTTTTAAACATCTACCTATGATCATTGAGAACAAAGCGGAAAATAAAATTGATAGATCAAACGAACTTACCTGAAGTGAAGTTCGATCTCAATTATATGAAACGACTTGTTCGAGATGATCGAACCCACCCACACACCTATACCCAAGATCATCTCTACAACATTCAAACACAATTACTCCTTTAAAAGAGTAACGTAAGAGTGTATCTGACTACCACGGGACGAGAGCAGAGGTGGGAAGGACTTGGACAACCAGTTATTTTGGAACTTTCTAAATACTTTTAAGGGTATTTAGACTTTAAAATACGTGATTACAGATCATCTCGAACAAGGCGTTTCATATAATAAATATCGAACTTCACTTCAGGTAAGTTCGTTTGATTTATCAAT